TGAAGCTTCAGACTTCATGGACAGATTTGTCACCAAGATATATAGTAAGAATAATAGATCAAAATATTAGAATAAAACATGATTTGTAATTTGGATAATTATTCCAACAGTTGCATATAAATATTAAGCCAGCTTGTCATCTTCTAAAATGTGCAAACTATTAATATTAAACAGATGAGATGGTCGCCTTACTAAAGGACGATGTGGTGAAGTCAGTTTGGGAAATGTTTCATGTTATATCCCTTTCTTGGTGATTTGCAGTATGTTTCAGCGTGTTAAAGACATAAGTTCTGCCTTAAGCAAAGCCAGGATATCTTAAAAGATGTTTTGTTTTGTTTTTTTTACTGGATAGTCTGCATTTTTGTTTGAACCAAATCTATTAACAATATTCCCCCAAAACACTGATTCAGAGGGATATTAAAATATGCTATTGGAAATGCTGCTATTATAATGATAATTACAGAAATAAATAACATGTATTGATTACCATTATGTGCTCAGCACTCTGGCTTTGTATATATTATCTTCACAACAGTCTTACTATAGAAATGGAGGCACAGAGAAGCTAGGTAGCTTGTGGAAGTCATGTGATTAGTAAGTATTAGAGGGAGGAATTGAACTCAAGCAATCTGATTCCAGGATTTAGACAAATGATCATTCCCATTCCTCTACTTCTCAACCCTCACACTTTTCTTTTCTTTTTGAAATCACATATGGTTAGTTTAATAAAGAAATGAACAACATCTGTACCCCCATAATATGCTGAAATAAAAAAAAAAAAAGAAATGAACATTAAAAAATCTTGCAAAAAATTTCATTCAAATGTATTCTACACATTAGACAGTTGTTAAGAAAAGGGAAAATAAATTACTGAAGCTAAATATATGCATTACCTATGACACATTGGTTCCACTCCTAGCTACACATCCAGCAGAAATGCACATGCTCTAGGAAGATATATGCAAGAATGTTCATAGCATCATTATTAATAAACAATCCAGATACCTATTAACAAAACAGGGATACATTGTGGTATGTCAGATAATGATGGAATATTCTGCACAGCAATAAAAATATGAAAACTATGCCACATGCCACAACATGAATGAAACTTATATAAGTTAAGAGTGAAAGAAGACAGAGACAACTTTATGATTCTAATAACCTGAAATTGAAAAAAGGGCAAAACTTAACCTGTGTTATTGCAAGTTGAGATGGTAGTCATTACCTTGGAGGCTGAGGGAGATGAGTCATGACTGGGGTGGGGCAAAATGGAGGCTTCAGGCTACTGTTTTACTTTTTGACCTGGATAGTGGTTGCATAGGTGTGTTCACTTTGTAATAATTTATTGAGCTGTAACGAATTTTCAGTGTTTCCATACGTATGCTATGTTTAATAAAAATTTAAAATTTTCAAAATGGTTAGAAACAAAATGCAACACGAAGCAGAATACACAAAAAGAAGGAAAAGCAAATGCAAATTCACAATCTATTTGAAAAGTAGAAAAATATATGTGATAACTAAATAGGAATAACGGCAATCTAACATTTATTCTAAACCCTTCTCCAATGTATGGTCTTAGTTCCACTTTTCATTTACTCATTTGCTTCTTAACTTTCTGTCTGTTCTCCAAATCTGCCATTCTACTGGGAAAAAAAATACCTACTTGAAGGGAATCAATACCTACTAATTGCCACATTCTTTGAGTTATTTTCTCAGGATTTACTTGAAGATGAACCAATCAAAATATTGGAGAAGGAAAGGTGAGGCAGGTGAGAGTTGTCAAGAAAAGGAAAATTTTAGGAAAGACGTTTGACAGAATCAAATGCTGTAGAAAACAAAAGGAAAACACTAACGGCTGAGCAGAAGACATTTTCACCCTGAAGATGTTTTCACTCCATCTTTATGAATAACAACTAAAAATATTTAGATAGAAGTGGAATTATAGAAATAAATTCAGTAGTTCTCGATTTTCAAAACAAAAAGATATCTCAGTCCCTTGTGGACTTTCTTTTTACACAATTTAAGAAGTATTGATTTATTGACAAGTGAATTATTCCTATCAGAATATTGAAATTTCTAATAGTATGCATAATGTTTAACTGTCACAGGTTCTTCTTGCAAAACGGAAACTGGATGGAAAATTTTATGCTGTCAAAGTGTTACAGAAAAAAGTAGTTCTCAACAGAAAAGAGGTAAAATTATAATAGCTATTGTTTGTCTTAAGTCCATTTTCTCAACTAACAGAATTTTTTTTGGTAGATAATACAATTGATCCTTTACCTTTTTTTTTCCAGCAAAAACATATTATGGCTGAACGTAATGTGCTTTTGAAAAATGTGAAACATCCATTTTTGGTTGGATTACATTATTCTTTCCAAACAACTGAAAAGCTTTATTTTGTTCTGGATTTTGTTAATGGAGGGGAGGTGAGTTTTATCATTAGTTTTCTAATATTAATAATTTAGAAAAAATAGCACAAAGTCAGAGTTTTTCTTTTCTTGTAAGTTTTAGAAGGGCAATGCATTATCAATAGCTACTTGTTGAGTAGCAATAATATTCCAGGTACTAAGTACAGTGCAAGATGTGGAAAAATGTAACACAGGGC